ATACAAGATACAAGATTTATTTGCTCCTTTCAAATTGCAATTTATATACACAAAGAAATTATTTAAATTATAGTTAACATTATTATTATTAGTAAAATATATTTGTGATCTGTGACTAATTGTTTTGTAATTTTTGAGAAGATTTGAAAGAGAGCTGGCTTCCTGAAATAACCACAGGGCTATATAAATATCAGGAAACCAAATAAAGGACGAAAAAATTATGAAAATTGACAATATATAGTTCTATATCAAATATATTTAAAAGATCGAGAAAGGAGTCCTGCATGACTCCCGATAACGTATAGAAAAAGTTGGAGTTGGAAACTGAATCAATACTTTCCAAGAAAATCGATTCTAATTTTATATTTAATTTGAGAAATCGGCAAGTCTTTATATGATTCATGTAAAGAATTCCAAATTTTAGTGCCTTGATATTTGATATTGAAAATTCCGAAATTTGTTCTTGCTTTTGGTAGTATATATGTTAATTTAGAAGCAAGCCTCGTATTTTGAGAATGAACATTGCACACAGGAGTAAAGAAATTGTTGAACGTTGGTGGCAACAAGTTGTTATGATATTTGTACATGAAAAGAACCACGTGTAGATTTAGAAGATCAGTCAACTTAATAATATTCAACTGTTTGAAAAGTGAGCTAGAGTGGGCATCAAATTTAGAGAATGTTATAACACGCACAACCTTTTTTTGGAGTATAATTAAAGGTTTGACGTTGTGGAATACGAATACGAAATGTGGGAATACGAATACGATTTGGAGAAATTTTAAGGCTCTTTTCCACTCATCGCAAAAACAGCTCGCAGTGAGCTTGCGAGCACTAGCGAGTAACTCGCAGCAAGCTTGCGAACATTCGCAGCGAAGTTAGTTGAACAACATTTTCTGATCGCGCGAACGAAGAAGACCAGTAGTCAATGGAAAGCGTTGAAAATATCACGTGACTAAAGTGAACATACTCGAGAACGTTTTACATGCTTAAAAGGCGCCGATTTAAAGCGGCCGCTTTTGCAAAAACGTAAAATAGTCACGCGAGATGATGAAGTATGGAAATTGACCTATGCGAGCTGCTTTTACGATGAGTGGAAAAGAGCCTTTAGTCACAAAAAATATCAACAAAAACAGCCACAAACGGTTTTGAAACACCTTAAGGTGCATATGAAAGAAAAAAGGAACGATTTTCTGCAAATTGGAAAAAGAAGCAAGCATTATTTCGACTCGTTGAAGCTGTACAGGTGCGGACGTTTTTTTATCTTTTAAACAAATAATTAAACAATGATATGAATAATTATCAAACCTTAGTTTGTGTTGCCAACTACTACCTTCGGGGGGCACCGAAGGGAAATGTTTTTCGTGGCAAAAATTTTGCTGACCCAACCATTAAAAAGTAAAAAATTTGGTTACCCAACCTCAAATATCAATTACAAAATAATTACCCACCCCTGGCCAAAAACGTTACAAAAATATACCATTCAGTTGTCACACATGTCCTTTATCACTTCTGTGACATGAGTTCGATAACGGCTTGTGAAATTTTCTGCAGTCTAAAGTTTCATGTTGTCTGCACATGTACTTTCTTTGGAGACGCCATTTGTTTTGTCAAAACGATCAAGATAGTGACTCTGATTGATTCACATATTGTATTGACAAATGACTGTTGACATTGCTTTTCAGTCAACAATATTTTGACGGTGAGTCATGTTTTTGAAATGACAATAAATTTTTATTACCCAACCCTTGAGTTGTTTTGTTTTTCATTTACCCAACCTTTTACTCACTCAAAATTTTGTTTACCCAACCTTTTTCTCTTCGGTGCCCCCCCCCCCCCATAAATAATAACCAGTCCCTAATGGGTGATTCCAGATATAGGCTAAATTTTGATCCAGACAAGAAGGACGAAATCTATCATTATAGCTTAAAAGAACGTCCTTAAATTTGTAAAATTGCCAAATTTGGTTGCAAAATGTTGTAAAATACGAAAGATATAGCCCTGTGAAATTAGCAAATTTGGAGTACCACTTTTGAGACGAAAGTGGTACATTTTTCCGCGCGTAATACTAAATTACTCAAAATTTGCCGATTTCAAAGGGCTATATTTTTCGTATTTTACAACATTTCGCAACCAAACTTGGCAATTTTACTAATTTTGGGATGCTCTTTTGAGCTGTAATGATAGATTTCGTCTTTCTTGTCTAGATAAAAAATTAGTCGATAGCTGAAATCATCCATTTATTTATTAATTACCATCAGATTTTCAACAACTCTTTCCCCAGTGGTCTCCTTGAGTTTCTCATCATCCACAACAAAGGCAGGATATCCAATAATGCAAAGCAATGCAGCATCTGTCTCCTAAATAGAAAATCTTGCATTGACATTTCAATTGAGGTTGCTCTCTATACAGTTAGTTTACAAGACTGGTGACTAAATACTCAAGTCAACACGCGTGCGTCTCGCGTAGACGTACTCAGAGGTGAAAGGCGCTTCTGGCGACTACGCCACCGAAACCCCATTCATAATAGGGCCATTTATACGAGACAAAATAAGTCGCGACTTTTGAATTTAGAGTCCATTTCCTGGACTTTGGGGGAAGATTTGACAGAAATCTGATGGTCAGGAAACGGCATTATAACGTGTCGAAATTTGCAATTTGGTTTGAATTTAGTAGTAGTACTTATATTATGCAATGCTAACAACTTCCAGCGATTAATCTAATCCCAATTCTATTCTCTACTGATCTAGTGATCTGAATACAATTACAACATACAGCTCTTTTATACAATAACACACAGACCCCACGCATATGCATTTTAAGGTTTCCCTGCCTGGCTGCCAAAAGGGCGCGTTTCAGCATTATTTCATTATTCACATTACTCATGATGTTTCTAGCGCAAACAACTAAATTGCGTACACAATTTTACATTATCATAACTTAAACTATCTAATTTGCGCCGCTCTTGTGATTCGTGAAGCATAATAAAGGGCATAATACCAGCAAGAAAGGGCATGATTCCCGTGATCGCTTCGAAACCTGACCAATATTCCGGTGATGAGACATTGCGTGTGATCACAGTTCATGTTCCTATATGAACGATTTCGTGTGAGTCGTGAGGTAGCAAATTAGCAAATACGGTTAGACAAAATAGTCTGTATAATTTAATATATCACTTTGTCGCCTATGCGCTTAGTCTGTTTATAAGCCTATAAACACATCTTTTCTCGGCGGAAGTAACTATATTTCTAGTTTTTTCCCACCCACTTTCAAAACTCGGCGCGGGATCGGCGCCCCCTTTTCATTTTGAGCCCTGCAAGAATTGCCAGCTGGGGGGAGGGGGGGGGGGCACGCCCCCCTGCCAGCACGCCACTGGATAAGACGCGACTTAAATAAGAACAGGACTTTTAGCTGTTCCCATTAAGTCGCGTCTTAAACAAGACATTTTGCATAAAAAGTCTAACTACAGTACACATGGCCGAGACTTGAAACAACGTAAAATTATTAGCCTTGCATATTAAAACAAAAGCAACCAAAACAACATTATAGCTATAGCAAGTAAATAACACTAGAGCCGTAGAGAACCATTTATACGATAACTCCGCTTATACAAGACGCGTCTTATGCAAGTCGCGACTTATTTTGTCCCGTATAAATGGCCCTAATGTCAGAGAACGCAACTAATCACGACCCCATATAATTATTTGCCGATATTAGAACCATAGAGAGCCATCTCAAGCCTATTAACCCCAAAACAAATATGTTTGTTATGTTACTCTGAGTGTATATCCACACCGGGCAAGTTTGAAAAAATGAATCGAATGAATGGGAATCGAACCTATATACGACCTTTGGAAGCTTGCCCGGTGATATACACTCAGAGTAACACCACAAACATAATATTCACCTGAGTACACAGCACCAACACAGAAAAAATCCCAAAACAATTATTACACTTCGAAACTAAGACCATGCATATATGATTACATTTGAAAATCTGAATCGCATTGACTCGTTTTCATGTTGATTCGCATGTTTTTTTTATTACTATTTTTGAACATAAATTATGTGAGACGAATCATGTCTTCTTAATTAGTGTCGCAAATTCATTCATTTAATACAAAATGTAGTTTTTCAGTACCATTTTAAAAATAAATAACAAAAAGTAAAAATAAAAAATAAGTATATATAATAAGTATATAATAAAATATAAATATAAAACCAGAAACCCCAATCATATGCGTGCATGCAAGCCCTCTCCACGCGTAAAAGTATTCCAGAATTTACCTTAGAACTAGATTCTCTCGGAAGCAGAGTCTTAAGAATTGTACAGTTTCTATTGAACGCATCTGGATCAACATAAATTACAGATGAAGATGTTCCCTTAAGAGAAAATAATGAAAAATACTTCATATAATCTAAATAATTTATATAATCTACTGTATGTTGGTGACTTAATTGTTACTGTACGTTCTTTCCATCCCTGTAACTTTACGGCAATAGCTAGACATTCTTATATAGAGTAATATAATTTAATTTTGCCAGAGTGAAATATAGAAGTATTCACCAGACAGTTCTTCCCGAGCGTTTCGTCCATAGCAACAACGGGCAAATGCGAGACGTATGGCCGTACGGTAACTGGACCTCCAGGAAGAACAGTTTACTGAACCGGTAGAGCTAACATCCAACCATAGTTATTATTATGGAAATAAAACCACCGATCTGCATAGGTCATGGTATGGTTTCTCGTGCAATTTGGAAAAACATCGTTACACTCGTGAGTTTTTCAAAACGTCAAATTACACTCGTCCGAATGGCTCAATTACTTAATACAAGTTTTTACTGCAAGTGTAAAAACCTAATTGACACATTTGTTTTTTTCTCCACTTTATTTCATGTTTTGGCACTGCGTGTTTTCATGTACACGGCTAAAAACGCACAGGTTGTTGATATCGACAGGCGTGAACAATGTTGTGCGGCCAACAATGAACAAGTTGTCAACCACGTTGTTCCAAGTTGTTACAGTTGAACAATGCTGTAACAACATGTTGACAATACTGTTCATAGTGGGCCGCACAACCTTGCTCACGCCTGTCGCTATCAACTTGCAACAAGTTGTCGATTTTCTCAATTTTTACGCGTGTACATATACAGTACATGCATACCATATTAACCCATATAAATATTATAATTGAAAAAAATACTTGCGCGACTTATTCATTTAAACATTATTCTTGTTTACTCAATATTCTAGCATTGTTTCAATTCTGTTTCAGAGCCTTCATTGAAATGGACATGATTTGGCAGCAAAAATAAATATTTGAAAGTCATGGAAGATAAAGATTCTATTAATTAAAACAGTACCTGGCTGCCAAAAAGATTAAATCCATTTAGACTTTCTAATGCAGCTTTCGCCATTCCAATTGAACTAAAGCATACAAAATCCAATTTTAGATTTAAATTTAGTTCAATTTGTCATTTTGTCCGATGACCGCCACAAATTTGCTGGCCTGCTGCTGGCCGTGTATATCTACATCATGCTCACGCGCAATTATGCCAATTAATGTCAATTATTGCGTACTACGTTTCGCGGTCGCTGCGCCCACATCACGCCTTACTCCTGAAGTTCCTTCCCATTAATCATATTAAGGTAATTCCGCAGTTTTGCATTGCGCACTTTTACTGCGCACATCTTATAACTTATAATTTCATCCATTATACGTATACCGTTTAAAAAAATCATTTTATGACAATTTTATGTTACTTCAAAACATCTTTGGTTAGACTCGTGCAAAGAATTACATAAAAATCAATGGTTTCAAAAAAGGCATACAAAAGTGTAGCAATTCTCTAAAAAGATCGGTGACCCCCGTTTTTTAACTGATAATTTATTTCTTTAATGCATTTTACATTCCATATCCGAAATTAAGAGAAAAATCATTTCTGGATCTTGAAAAGAAAAATCCTTTATCAATGCATGTTCTCCAAGAAAGATATGTAAAGAAATGTGGAAAAGACATTTATAGATCAGTTGGAAAAAACGTTAGTAGTTTCATTTTGCTCAAAACATAATATTTTTCCAAAAATAATTACAAGATAAGTTTACAAAAGCAAAATCCGCGCTAAAACCGTCAATAAATATCAGGCTGTTGTGATTTTGCTGTTACTCGTAATGAGCGTCAAGATGGCGCCATATTGGGGTAAAGGTGGTATATTGTGATTGTCATATCTTCTTAACGAGTTCGGTGACCCCGACTTTTTTGTGTGATTTTACTTTAAGTATATCATAAACTCCATGTCTGGGAAGTTTCAGCACATTCTCATTTCGGGAACAATTACTGCGGAATTACCTTAAACAACACTGACACAATAGTAAACTAATAATCATTAATCATGACACGCTATTACAGTACGGTCAGTACCTGGAATGTAATTCTCGATGTCCATTGTTACTTCTACAACCTCGTTCCCAGATTCCATAATCAGGTGTACGGTAAGCTCGTTCGATGTAGTAAATCAAGTTTTGGATGAACGAAACTTCATCAAGTGTATAAATAATCTAGTTATCCATAAGATAAAAACCGAAGTGTAAGAGGAGATATACAGTATAGTGAGTATACCAGCAAAAACCCCACTTGACAGAAACCTCGTCAACAAAAGCAAATATGCTAGTGCTATGACGCCATCCTGGAGTGCACACGGCACTTTGTACCTATGTTTGTACCCATGAAAAACTTCCGTGTGCACTCCAGGATGGCGTCATATGATCACGTCAGCACGTGAAATTTCGGACGAAATATCATCTCAGTGACACTTCTGGCCTAATAGCGAACTTAAGCAAAGCTTAATCTAGTACGGGGACGTGCCAAGAAACCGCCTTAAATTTCACACTTTTATAATTATAAAGAACTACTGTTATTAAGAACTTCAACAAAGCAGAACGAAAGTGAAACGAGAACAGCTAATAATATCATATTAGTGCAAGAAAGTGAGCAGAAATTAATAATTGAAATCTCACGGTCGTTTTAGACGTCGCCGTAGGCGTAGCTCTGTTTTACAACAGCGAAATACAGATTATCACGTCTTGTATGCAACGCTTACATTCCAAGCTGGGACAACTGCTACTTTAAATTGGGTCCTAAAACTTTTCTCAATCATAAACCCAGTGTTAATTTTGATCCTTAAACTGTATTATTTTCATACGCTGGATAATAGACGACAACTTTTCTTTTACAATCATCGGTTCAACGATATTGTTTGCCTTTGCCTTCGCAGTCGCGTTCCCGTCCTACCATGCTTAAGGTCGCTAATATCTATTCTGTGAGCTAAGAAAAGAAAGAGCTAATTAGAAATACTGCGAGCGCGCGCATCTAACACGCCCGCACGCAGTATTTCTTAGCTCTTTCAAGATTTTGCTTTGTATACCAGGTCATTGAAATGCCATGTTTTCATCAAAAACTGCGGGCAAATCGTGATATTGAACACTTTTCTCAGGTTTTCTATGTTTTATTCAGGAGTAAAATGTGGGGCTGGCATGCATTCAGTGGTTTAGATCGACGGTGATTCTTAAAGTTTGGTCGGTGGCGATTTTGTCAAATTTTGTCTTCACAGCCATCAAGAAAATGCAAAATAAAAGAATGATATACTGTTGTATAATTCACCATGATAATATTTCACTTACCGTCAACCCAGAAGCAATCATTTGGGCCAAAACCAACAAATATAAACTGACCGCATCAATCTAAAATATCATTTCATTTGATTTAAATGTATATAGTATAGAAACATCCATTGTTTATGTACAGTATCTAAAGGACGTTGGAACTAAAAATGTAGTTTGTCCCACTTGAAAGAATGTCTAAAATTATGTATGAAATCTTGCTATCATATCAAGCTTAACCATTGAACTATTTGGACCGAAAAGAACAAGCTATTTGCCTTCTTGGATCAATTCTTATCCTTGTTATTAAACTGTGGTTTTGATGACGTGAAGAGTGGAGCAGTGGCGCAGCAAACTCGATAACTGGGGGGGGGGGCAATATTCATATATTCGTGTTCACAGACCTTAAAAACAATTGATTTCAAAAGACATTAATGATGCAGAACACGAATATATGAATACCGCCCCCCCCCCCCCCCCCCAATTAGAGACCTTACGATTATAGGACCGCAAAGTGACGACGGCCAAAACAAACTCCTTCAAATAAATGGTAGTAAAGATAATTCGTTGTATATTATCAATCGTATGAATTTAATACAGTCTTAGAAGTTGAAGACTTGGTTTGATGGTTGGAAAGAGTACTGCTGAATTTAGTTTGAAGTTGCACTTGTTGCGGCTTGAAATGCAGCCATTGTATCAAGACGTGAAAATCTGTGATTTGGCGTTGTAAACAGAGCGAGGACAATGTCTAAATTATTCATATATTTTAATTTTTCAATTCTTTTCAATGATCTATTGTATTGGTAGCCGTTGCCGTCGCGTTGCCGTCCTAAAATCGTAAGGTCTCTGACATCTAAGTGATCAAAAGTTGTTTAAAATGTTTCTATTCAATTCGAAATTTGAAACAGCAACCAGAAACGAGTTTTAGGACCACAATGATCACTGGCTGTCAAGATAAAAATTCGATTGTGACCCGACTTGCGACGTAACATGCATATCCTGAATAATCCAAGACGAAAAAACAATATATTTCAAGAAAAAAGGGAAGAGATGAAAAAGCTGTATATAAGAATGATTTGATTATTTTTAAAGCTCTTCCACTGGAGACAAACTGAAATTTATACTTCAAGAAAAGTATTGCATGACAAGGCTTTCTGGCATCCTTGTGTATAAAAAAGTATGATAAAAGGCGGACTAGAATTTCAGGAAAAGTAGGAAAATATACAGAAAAGGATTTTTTGGAGAATGCAAATAATACAAAAATAATATATAGTTCTGTGACCCAAATGAATTATATTTTCAAAATTAGCCTCCTTACTCTATTAGTAGGATATATATGGATTGTTTATATAGATCACAGCTTGTACTAAAACGTCATTGCATAATGTTGCTAAACCAAATATATACCTTGAGAATTATTACTGATGGGACACAAATACATATAGCCATAGGGAATATAATTATGAGACCCATCGGTATAAAGCTCAGCATGAATGTGCAACCGATTGTGCAACAATCGAAAATTACCGATTATTCATGGCACAATCCGCCAGATACCGATGCCGATTTTATAATGACGTCGTAATAGCAGACGACCGAGTAAAGGTGACATCATAACATTCATGTCAAATTTTTAATGATAATTTACAACGTAACATGTTACTGCAACAAAAGATCGTTAACACCATTAATAAATGGCACGCTTCACGAATTAATTTAACATATTGAGTTAAAATTTAACGTGTATCAAGGTGCAATGCATATAATTTTTAAAGTGCGAATTCTCTCAACAATCGGTTTTAAACAATAGGAAATATAGATAATTCTACCGATTCAGATTGTCTGCCGAAAAGGCAAAAATCGGCCCGAGCCGATTATCGGTCAATCACTACAGTGTGTATCAAAATAATTCGAATCCAAATTTGACAGACTGCTGTTTATAAAATACTAAAGTAAACCATATAATTTTTATATGGCAATAAAGAATAGCCTATTAGGTTTCCGATTATATCGTTCTTATATCAATAAGATCAAGAATGACCAAGAAATCGTGTGTTAAAACTGGTTGTTCGAAATCAAATTTTTCCGCCGATGGGAATTCGAAGTGAGACGTACAAACAAAAGATAATGCAAATTTAATTAATCAACAAACTGTTATGTAGCAAAATTTACATAAATTCATGTTCATTTAAAGAGATTTAAGCTCCTATGCTTTCAAATGTTGAACGAGAAGAAATTCGCGTTAAATTTGCATTTTAGTTTTCAGTGATGATTAGCATTTCAAAGCCTTGTGGGACTAACTTTGAAAGAAAAAATGTCCAATTCCCATCGGCGGAAAGTTGTGATTTTTATGGACTTTTTTGTCAAAGCAATACTCCTTCATTTTCCAACTAAATGACGCGTACAGCATGTCATTTGAAAGATAAATAAATGAACTTAACAATGGTGTAAAAACCAACCGAATTTGTCAAATATATTCTGCGTTATTACACGCCAAATTTGGATTCGAATTATTTTGATACACACTGAACTGTACAACCAAGCAGGCCTATACTGTACAGGGTGTCTCAAAAAACCCCAAAATCATTGAAATTGACGTATTGTTCGATATTCAATGCCCTAGCACTAAGTTAATCCCACGAGTGCATAAAAGATTGACATAACTGCTATAATGAATGGTAATACTCAGCGTAAACTTGTTATGTCAGGCATAAAGTACTAAACCCACGAATGCATATTACGCATATTACAATTTACGAAGCATTTTTAAATTCCCATGAGCAAACAAACGTTCACTTTACAAAGATATTTTAATTTTTTAAAACAAATTAATCACCCTGTCAAAATCCTTTGTGTTACGGCATTGAAATTCGAACAATACGTTATTTCAATGATTTTGGGTTTTTTTGAGACACCCTGTATAGTATAAAATACATATACCAAATACCTGAAGATGTGGCCAATTCTCATTCAAAGGCAACGTATTTCCTGTATGGATATTGAACATTGAATGAAGAGAATTGTGAGGTTGCTGATTGTGTTTGAACTTTTCAACCTGTAATACAGTTTTAAACAATATTTTTCAAATTGAAGTCTATTTTGCCTTTGGATAAGCTAACCTAAGCTGTTAACTCAGAGACACATGGCAGATATGATTAACCCTTTGAACACCAGCATTCTCTCCTTGACAAGTAAAATCGCCTGGCATTAGACAGAGTAAAATAATAAAGTAGGGCGCATCAGGACGCAAAGCAACGTAATGGGTTAATTAACATCTTCATTGATAAAGCGTTTGGAAGAAATATTTTGATGATTGATAAATTTATTTCAGTCATTGTGTTTATTTATTATTTGATTGTTTGAAAGAATTGAGTAAACAATTCATGGATTGATATTGATTGACTTATTGATTGATTTACTGAATAATTGATTGAATGCTGAGATATTTGTCTCAATTATTAATAGACTTATTGATTGAGTGGCAGGGTCCGAATTATCGCTAAAAAACAGTTTCGCACTTTTTTGGGAAACATTTACGTTGAAATACACATTTTAGGACGCCCCCCCTCGATTTTTTGAGCATCACAAGAAGCCAAAACGGAATGCGGTGCATGCAATGATTTTGCCAAGGCGTTTAGAACATGATTGCAATCATGAAATGAAATTTCACGCTGGATAAAGCCCTACATTCTGCTAAAAATCAAACGCTTCGGTATTGAAATTTCTAAAAATATGCATGCTCTCGCATTTGTATAAACATTTAGGTAATCCGTGCCTAGTAATTATCAAAGCAATGTTACCATGTGCTGAATGTCAGAACGTTACGCTTTCGTTGTTTCAATGCCCCTAAATAAAGGCAGGGACGTCGTGAAGACATCAACATTGGGG